TGGGCACGAATGAGAACACATTTTGTACGTAACTCCCACACTCTTGGCAATCGGCAGATGCACTAGTAAAAAGAACGAAGCACTCGAAATGTTTACGCTTTGGAAAATATTTCTAAAAAGAATAACTCTCTTTTTTAATAACTGTATTGACATCGATACCTGAGTTTTATAAAAGTTATTTTATCATCTTGAATATTTATTTTGCTTTAGTAATTCTCCTGAATAGCCCTTGGGCGTAATTACTTATTTTTAATGAAAATTCCATCTTCGTTTACTCAAAATTTATCTTGAGGCTTTGTCGCCTCCTTTCGTTTCGCGAGAAAATCCCATTGATTTTAATGCTCCTGGAACGCATTTTATGCACCATAAGGTGCTGGTAGAAATTATCGTTGAACAGGATGGAGGAAGGAGCCTGGTAGGGACGAAGGATGAACAGAAGAAAAGACTTATAGCAGCAGCGTTGAATAACAAGAAGAACAAAGAGTCAAGAAGAAGAACATGTATAACACCGAAAAGAAAATTAGAAACGCGAAAGAAAATGGACGAAGAAAGAAATTAAGGAAGGACAAAGAACAACGAAGAAAAGAAAAATAAACAGGCTGGGAAGTCACATTTTGTTTTAAAAATCACTTCATATTTTACAGGGATAAAAATATTTCTTATCTCAAAACAAAAAAATCCAAATTTACCTTCCTTCAGGAAATAAAACTTGTATGACGATATAAAGAGTTCCTGTGGTCAGATTGGAGATGGTACCAACGACAGAAATCACAAAACCGGAGCTGCCCTGCAGAAAAATTGAATCAGGAAAATAGATTAGTTTTAAACCAGAAGAGAGGTGAAAAAATCTTAATTAATTAATATACTTTTCCTAGCGTGATCTTACAATCCTAGAACTAAAGCACAATTGGATTTGTATAGTTATCATAAGTTTTATTAAAATTTAGATAAAAGCCAAAATAAAGAGTTCTTCAACTTACTTTGTTGTCTCCAATGAGTTCTGTTGCAAAGCCAAGCGCGTTAACAAACATGGCGGAGGACCCAAACCCCAGTAGAACGACGGCCGGGTAAGTGAACACTCTCGATGACTGGTTAATACACAGAAACCACAAACACGATCCAGTCACGGTCAGAGCAGCCACAATGAAGGACCACTGAAACAGGATGAGGAGCTTCAGCAGATAGCTGATATATATATCATTAAATTGTCGCTTTCGAATATTATATTTCCAGTTTTCTGATTGCTTAACTCGGTGCTGGTCACCAGTTTATATACCGAATAACCTTATATGGAAAATAATCACCTAAGCTTTGCTGAGCTGGGTTTAGTTGCTTTTAGCTGCAAGAGAACACTTCTCCGGAGCAATAGAAATTAAGTAAAAAGAAATACTAGTCAATGTGATCTCGGTAACAATAAAAAAAGCTCAAATGAAACTACAATGTGACACTATTAGTACGTAACGTTAACGTTGTTGAAAAAATTGCAGCTGAATTCAGGGATTTATGGTACAGAAAAAGTATAGCCACAACAGGATAAAGCAGCTGGTTACCTTGAAAATTTCAGGATGACTAACAAATTTTTCCTAGAAATTGTCCCCCCTGCCTAGACCTGTAGTTGCAAAAGCTCATTCACTCGTCTCACTCCGTTCGCGACCACACAGCAAAACATTTGTGAATATGCAAAAAGCTTCTTGATAAGCTGGAAGTTTTAGAAATTAAACCTTGAACCAAACGATTGTCTCAATGCGTTTGTGGCTATAGTTTGTACATTTGGAGCTGGAAATATTGAGTTCAGTAAATCTAAGCAAGGGTTGTCTCGATCGCCTCATTTTCGGTTACGTGAAAAAAAACAAAAAATCAGTTGAACAAACTGTGCACAACTTTAACGCTTGTTGACTAAGCTTTGACTAGTTGGAACCGACAAACACTTTCCAATGCTTGTCTTAGATGAATTCTTGTGCGTGCCCTTGGGAGAACGTTTTTTGGATTTCAAATCAATTTATTTTGTGTCGTAGTCAGATCCAGCTGCGCAAACTGCTTAGCGTTTGAATTTCATTCAGCTCCGGCTTGTTGGCGTTTGAGACCAGACACAAAGAGGGTGCTATTCGGTTATCAGCTTCCAATCTTGTCCACGATCATCGCTTACATTTGAAAATTACCTGAAAATAGTTTTCTTTCTTTTCATTACCTTTTCTCCTATTTTTCCAGAGAGCTTCCTTGATATTTGAGTGGACAATGTGGCACTCGCTAACAATATCAATGGCAGATTGGCAATCGCTTCCTTCAGAAAAAGCACAAACGTCTGAGGTTATAGAAATCACAAGCTTTCTCGGGGGTCGAATTGTTGGTTTTGCTGTCATCAAGAAGCATTCTGTCAATTGGATACGTGTAACTTAATTCCCCCATAAAAGGAACCAGTCTTCCTATGGTAGAACTTTGGTAGTCATCATGAGGGTTATTTTTCGCTCTTTTAGTAACGTCTAAACCAGCATCAAGTCGTTCTTACCTTGTAAATTTCCGCTCTTAGTAAAAGTAGGGCATTGACAGAGTAAGTTTCTTGGCCATAAACAGTAGTGTATGAAAGCTAACAGGAAAGCGATTCGGAATTTTTAACTCTTAGTCTACCCTAAACAGTAATTTGGTACATCTACTCCATATTTCAATTCCTTAAAAATGGATGTTTAATAAATTAAATAATGGTCTCTCTGCCTGTCTACCTATCTGTCTGTCGTGTGTGTCTACCTGTCCGCCTGCCTGTCTGTCAGTCTGCCTGCCTGTCTGCCTGCCTGCCTGCCTGTCTGTTTGTCTGTCTGTCTGCCTGCCAGTCCGCCGGTCTGTCGGCCTGCCTTTCTGTCTCTCCTTCCCTCTTACTGTAAAGTTGGCTGAATGACGGCGAAGGAGGAAGAAAGGAAACGAGAATAGACGAGTAACCAGGTAATTGGTTAACCCTTACAGAAGATCGAGTATAACTTTTAGTATCTTTCAAGCCCAGAAAAATAAATCAACGAAAGAAATTCCTGAAAAGTTTGCTGATACATACTTTTTCAAATTTCAGTTTGTCAGTCAGGAGTAAGGGCAGGTAAGCGTAAAACACATCCTCTGAACCCTTTGTGCACGCGTAAATAATTGCGACCTGTAAAATAAGAGAAGTGATCTGCATTCGTGCAAAAATCACATCCAACCGTTCCATTTACTTATGACAATATAATAATTTACGATGTATTACCTGCACTAAAGTTTCTTACAATATGATGACCGAGAAGTATGTTCCGTGAACCATTTTTTCCTTAAATAAAACAAACTAAGTAATTATGAAAATCCAGTGAGTATAGAAATGTTTTACTCACCGCGGTTTTAGATTCCAAAGGGTATCCTAACTGTTCAATTTTTATCTTCCGAGGTGGGAGACTACGGATACCGCCAGTTTGAAAAAAACTCAGTAACCTGGCCGCTTGCGCAAAACTGTAACGCTCTCGAATAGCTGCTACATTGGTTATTGCAAGAAAAAAAAACTTTTTTTTTTATTTAAAAATTCACTTTTTCAGAACTCTTAACTATGCAAAAAAATCGCCATGAAAAGGAAAACATGAAGACTGAGACTTTTTCACGTCACAGGTAAGAGGCCAAACATAGCGGGACTCGAATCGGATTTTCAGCACCTTTATAGACAATTTTTGAAAAGTTAGGTTACCTTTTGAAATCTCATGGTCGGTGTCATAATCTGTCAAACACATTTTAATGGAGGAGAGAAAAGCCATGTGGTTCCTGGTTATGTGTTTCTCCCTAGATCATTTGCAATAGGCTCGCTTGAATTTCTTAAAATAAACTATTTATTATGTTCATCTTTTAGTGTGAAAGCTGAAGATTACATTGTAGGTACATAAGAGCGTTCGAATTATATGCACGCGAAAATTGAAATTAGGCAAAGACCTTTTCACTGTACCCTAAATTAAGTTACCTTGTACAAATGAGGATCTTTAAGCCAGGTTCTCGCTGCCTTTTGTTTTGGTAGTTGAGCGGATTCAATATCTAAAGGTGTTAAGTTACCTTGTACAAATGAGGATCTTTAAGCCAGGTTCTCGCTGCCTTTTGTTTTGGTAGTTGAGCGGATTCAATATCAGAAGCAACAGGTGGTACAGCTTTTCCCTCATCCTGGCTAATATCGTTAGTATCGAATCCTTGATTGTCAACACCAGAGTTCAGTTTGTGACCTTGGTTGTACACTTCTGACTTTTGTTGTCCATTTTCCATTACTACCTGGCCATCCTCTTCGCTTATATCATTTACGAGTCTGCCATTGCTTGGCTTCGCGTTGTTTTCTTCTGTAGAATCTTCTTGTTTTGTCACGAGTCTATCAAAGATGCTCATCATGAGGCTTACTTTTCGCTCTTTAGGCAATGTCTTAACGAACGCCAAATCGTTCTCACTTGTGACTGCCATCGGTACAACAGCCATATTCGGTGTAGGATCATGAATTTGTTTTTCTAAGGTCTTATTTTCAGTAGCTTCCCTAGTTTCACTTCCTGCAAATATGGCCTCAAAAAAATTTTGGAAAAAACTCCTTTCCCTAACAGGACCGGTTTGTTCTTCAAATAATCGTCGACTGTGAATGACTCTATCTCGAACATTTTCCTTTCGCTGCTGATCTATGGGAAATAAAAAATCAGAAACGGCGTCATATATCAATTTAAAAACATTAAGACAAAGAGAAATCACATAACAGACGAAAAGCTATGGAATTAAGAAAATGTTTTTGGGAGTAAAATGAAAGGAAACTTTGCTGAAAACGAAACAAGTGAGTTGTTACACGGTCTTATAAATAACGAATAAGAACTCACATCTTTCAAAATACACCACTGACTGTAAGTCAACGGGTGCTGGTATGAAGAAGGTTTTTCTCTGCAACAAATGTAAGCGGTACATCAATTGAATGAGATCACTAGAGATGAAAACAGAGTTTACAAATATTTAATAGTTCGTTAAATAAAGCGTGCACTTCTCTCAAAAATTCAGTAGACACAGTCATGATAACGTGATATCATAACTCCAGTTAGCTGGGTAATAGTGACAGTGGGGGTCAGTTCTGTGGTGTGGGAAAATCCCTTCTCCGATGCAATGGCAAGATTCCAAATTCCGTTTGTAAGGATCAAATATTTCTTTCATATTGTACCCGTTGGGCCAACGTTAACATTTACGTGCAAATAAAGACTTCGAAAAGTATGGTTTGGCACATGATTTTTAGTGAAATTTTGAATAAATCAACACTCGCAAATTTTTCAAAGGTAAAAATTTAATTCTATTTTCTTTTTAGTCGTGTTTATTTTGTGTCATGGCTGACTGGTTCGGCCGCTTGTCTTTACGTTGTTGCCAGAGAAGTCGGGGTTTTCCAGAAAGAGTTTACTTGGAGCTTTTAAACTTAAAGTCATGAAAATCGAGCATTTGCTTGCTTTCTCAGTTAGGTATCGCTTTAATAGCAGTAATTAGTAAACGGCTTGAATAGCAGTAATCAGTACACGAAGGCTATCATGCTCGTCATATTCCCCGTCTTTCTCTTTACGAACTGTCGCGTGAACTCCAGGCGAATTTTCCCTATGGCCTCCGGTTTGTCCTCTTCAATACTTTCCTTACGACCGTTTTTGGTGCCCAATTGTTTGTCCTTTCTTGGGTGTTTCATTCTTAGAGCTCTCCTTCAAACCCTAAATTAAAACTTTTTAAAACTTTCTCTCGACCAGTCTGCCATTTTGTTTTCATGTGCTATCGCGACTTACCAGTAAATCAATTTAATTTCAACTTTCTGCACTGTTAGGAATAAATTGTCGTGTTCTCAGCCGATGAGCGGAAAGGGAAAAGATGGACACATGTCCATTTAATGTGTGGTTATTCAAGAAAGGTAGTCCCTTATCTGTCTCCTTTTTTAAAGTAGACAAATGAACGTTTCATCGTTTTTCTCATCATGTAGAGTCAGACTAGAAAATTTTACTGATCGCGACGTTTCGACTGCTAGTCTTCCAAAATTTACCATATAAATCTGAAATTACCCGAGACCGCCGGTTTTTCTCTGAATCGTCTGAAGGTTCTTTGGTTCCAAAATAGAAAATGGCAGAGCAAATCAGTCCGACTCCTGTCATGATCAGGGTTATCACCTGTAGATGAACAGACATCAGAAATGCAGTTACGTGAGTTCAGTGATAGACACAAGAAAGATAAAGTTGTCTCAATACGATAACCGCTAAATGGATTTTTCCATCTTAAGAGTGAGCGCCAACGCACTTTACGATTGTTATTTGGGGATCGTCGATTCATTTATTTTCATTCATTAATGAAGTGGTACTCTGTGTCTCAGCTGAAGGAACAGGAAGCTATACAGGAAGAAATTAAGTAGACAAAGAAATAACAGTGGAATAGTAATAGTCAGTGGCAACACTAGAATCATGTGGGGTTACTAATTACCATAAAATCCATTGAGCTTTCTTTTGTTAACTGATCACGGCTATCTTGTCCAAGAATTAGCCATGCCACAAGGTAGGAAACGATGCCAGTTAGGTACATAAAACCCGTTCTGTTGAGAAGAGGTCAACTACAAGTGAGCTTTGAAAAATGTTAACACTCTGTAAAGACAAGAACAGTCTCAGGATTTACTTGTAAGTTATTACGTGTAGCTGTTTCGGAAAGGAAATCAACTTCGACAAATATATAAAACTACTTACGATTTGTCCGAAGTAAGATCTTGGGAAAACTTTAGACCGAAATGCAGACATACTAACTAAACCGGGAAGTCATGCATGATTTATATAACCATCATCGTTATGTTTATATAATTTTATAATAATAATAATTTATTGACTTCTAAGGTGCAAATTATAATTATTATTATTATTTGTTATTATTATTATTATTATTATTATTATTATTACTATTATCATTATTATCATTACCATAATTGTTTTACCCAAACCATGTACAATCGTGACGAGGGCTGTCATAAAACTTACCCGAATTTATTTGACTGACAGCCAGACCAAAAAGACCAAAATTGGTTTTGACCCAATCTGACACTGAGGCTAATTAAGACTTTCAGCTAGAGTATAGTCAACTTGTATTAACATGGATATGAGTATATAAGTGTAGCGATCGAAAGAGTTTCACCAACCTCAAAGCAGTAAGTTTGGCGGCCTCACTTTGATCCTTTGCCAAAACCGGAATAATCGACAGGTGCGATATGTCAACGAAGTTGATGGAAAATGAGATTACGGTGGCGATGGAAAAGTAATACAACAACACCACCCACTCGCTGGTTCCACTGCCACAAACTAAACATTGGCTGAAAAATAGCGGAACACCGATTGTAGCTGCAATAGTTCCAAACAAATGCCACGATTTTTTCTTTCCAAGCCTGCGTGATAGAACCGGAATCTTAACCTTATCACATAAAAAACCTGCTGTTGGAGCAAATAATAATGCACCGGCAAAGAAACTGTAGAGAGTAATCAAGCCGGCATTGGTTGCAGAGATGCCAACAACTCTCATGAGAAAAATCATTCGGAATGACTGCAACAAGCGGCGAGTGACATCATTAATCACATGCCCCACTCCACAGGAAAATTGCTGTAGATGAGATATGCCTCTCACAGGATTTTTCTCGATCTCCACGTTCATATCCGCAAACACCAACAGCCTAAAAAGGAATCAAGGGTGAGAAAAATAAAAGCAAAGAAGGATGTACTGGTAGCAGGAGTAGTAACACTAAATTTTGGGTCAACTTTTCAAACCGGGTAACCTGTACTATTTCAGCTATGACAGCTTGAGATCATTTCTCCAGATTATTTCATTAAATCCAGAAATTACAAAGCACAACTAAGGGCCCAAGAGGACTGAAAAAAAACAAGATCTAAACTTGATATTCCCTTAAACCTTGCCTACATTTCCAGAATTTTTATAGGGTTGTTAAAGGTAACAGATGAGAAATATGAATAGGCCTTAATACGCGAGTCGGACTGGCTCCCGGCGCCACAAAATCAAATTGATTCCATCCAGTTCCAATCATTTAACTCTATTTCGTCTTACTCAATTATTTGATTGATTAATTTGCTCTAATTTACCTACTTTTTGTAATGAGCCTCGCGCTCCAAACCCATATTATTTTCAGCAGATAATTAACCTTTCCTTTATTTTCTCATTTTCGCTACCTCGGAGCATTCAAATGTAACGTAATACATTATTCTGATATCTATGATTGTAGGTATAATAATTACAAAATGGTTAGGTCCTCTATTTATGATGTTGAGGGACCGGGTGATGTTCAACTTTGCCTATGATCATTTCGGCAATCAGCGGGGATGAAACAAATTTTCGAAGACCTCATAGTTTTATCATGACAGTTAAGCCACAGAATTTTTGGTTTTCAAAGCATAATATTTTTTGTAAGTCGCTGCTTGGCTGAGAAGATAGCGAAAATAAAAAGTTCTAAAATCTTTATCCACGTTCAGTAGCATGTCTGGTCATAGGGGAATACTTACCGATATCAAAAGCTTGATGTAACGCGATATAGCATGCTTAATTTGCAATTACAGAACACAAGACGATTCCTACCTCGAAATGCACGCTAGAAAACAATAATCGAACGCTTTTAACTAATATTTAATTTCAAGTAACAATCACCATACTTACGAGAAGGCTAATGATCCTGGAGAAAGTTCTAATGTGGAGTGAAAGGGAAAATGTTTAAATTTTATCATTACATGGTGACAAGAGAAGATATTTATACTTTCTTGATGGTGATTATGAATTGTTCAAAACTGAATTGCGTCAAATAGGTCAGGAAGGAGGATCATTTTTCATTTGAAGTAATCTGTGCATCGCGTTGCTACAACAAAGGCTGAACATTTCATGGCCCTTGTAGGTACAACTGCGACGAAAAATGTTGCAGAAAACAGACCTTACAGAATAGTATAATTTCTCAAAATTGTTTCTTCTGATGATGAAAATGACGATGTTAAGTAAGACGTCTTCTTTTGAAAAAGAGCTAAATACTCTTCATTGTCTTCCATGCTCGAGTGAACTAAAACCGGTTGCGATGGATTAGATTCATAATTGACCTAGAGTGATAAAAAAAAAATCTTAGTTAATCAGTCGACCTTTAACAGCAAGTTACGTATTTCCTTTTATACGTATGCAATTACCTTGCACGTACACTCGGACAGCTACAGGCCTACCGAACAACGTTCCCCTTAAGTATTCACTGATATCAGAAATCTAACGTTATTAAAAACATAGCGCAGACTTTTTATTTTGAAAAACATAATTTATAAACGATCTCAGCACACCTCATGTTATAATAATTCCTGCGATAAATTAATAATTCCGTGGACCGCCGTTTAACTAGCTAAAATAATTTAATCTTTTAAGCGTAAAGAAATTAAGTATTTTAAATATAAAGTGATTACATAGATTACCATGACATTGAATAGTATTGGATTTGATACAAGGCTAGGCGCTCGAAAGTTAATCTTTGCAAACTAGAGGTGAATTTCGTGAGTCAACAGCAAATTTCGTTTAATCTTATAATCACCGAAATAAACATTATAGTCCATTAAACGGACTAGTTGGAGCTGGGCTCAATAGTCCGGATAATCAAAAGTCCGGATAATTGAGAGTCCGGGTAATCGCAAGTCCGGATAATAGAGAATAATAGAATTTTGACTGTAACATAATGCGTTCTTAGATTGTGCAACCAGAGAATTAAGTTCGCCGGGACAATCGAAGATCCGGATAATCGAGGTCTGGATAACAGAGGTTTGTCACATTCAACTGACTCCAAAAGACCGTCAGAGAAGTCGCCGACTCGATATCGCTTTTATTTAGACCCATGCTTTCAACGCTGTCAAGACGCCTGAAATACTGAATTCGAATGTGCTTAAAAAGGCGAAACTGTGCTTTTAAGATAGTTCATTTAAAGAAAAAAAAATTACAAAGCCCGTTCAAAGACATTAAGGCTTACATTTGACAGTTGAAGAGTTTCTGAAATATAAGCTCTCATAAGTATCGGTGTTGACATAATTTCGAGTGCAATTAGGTGTTAATAAGCAGGAGTAAATTTTTCAATAGCAACAAAATTGCACGAGTTCCGTCGGGCAAGTGCAATTTGCAGTTAAGAATGTTTGAATCACTCGTGCCCAAATAGGTCACGAGTACATCAGACGCATATGTTGGAATGTACTGGACTGTTCAAAACAAAGAGTCAAGAAAATTATGTGTAGCCATATTATTACCCATATTATGTTGGTAAACATTGATATAAAAGAAGTAAGTTTCTAAAACAAATATTTAAGTGCTGCGTTGATAGGGTGTATAACGAGATAAGTTGGTTTTATCAACCTAGTTGATAATAATTAATTGTGAATATATGAAGAAACATACATGTGAATTGCGGATAGAAAAATGAAAACCGAAGCAATCTTCGCAGTAATGAACACTAGTTACGCAGCAGTGAAAATAAGGCCTAAAAAAATTCAGGCTTGTACGGGATTTGAAAGCTCTACCATCTGAGCTAACAAGCCAACTGAGAGCTGGTCATTACTATGGTTGCAAATAAACCCGTGAAGTGATGAATAAATAAGTGTTTATTACTGCGAAGGTCGCTTCGATATTCACTAAATGATAAAGCAAATTGGTCTCTGTAAAAAGTTTCTAAATCTGACTGGCGTTATCCCTTCGTTATCGCTCTGATAGAGGGCTAACGTTCCAAACATCAGCATTAGAAACTCTTTACGGCGGTCAATTTACATTATCAACTCAGTTGACAAAACCAAGTTAACAAACAATAATACAGCCGGTGTCTTCGTGTCTGCCAAAGGAATTACATTTTATTGCTAATTCGTACTTAAATCAAGCTTTATTAACTAAGATAAACAGCTCATTGCGGCCTACATATTATTTTTTAGTCGCCATTCGGAATAATCAAAGAGAATCGGAAGGAAAATTGCCAGAGAAAGAACTCCTACACAAGAATCAAAGAGGTTGTTGTATCTACTACTGATTAAATCGATTACGAAATGATAGATGTAAAGTTAAGGTGGGACTTAACCTAAAATTTGACTACAAAATGCAATTTTTGTTTTTGGAGAAATCTGAAACTTCAGGCATAGAAGAAAGCCATGACATGAGTTTTTAAGACTAATTTGCTTTATTTTGTTGCCTACGATAAGTTTTCTGCAAGCTAGTAAAAAAATATTTTTGGTTACCATGGCAACGCAACGTAGCATCTTTCAGTCTTGCTCCTGATTTTGAATAATTTGAAGCCCGAAAGTCCATCCAATTCCTAGAATTTCCTCAGTATTTTCAAGAGGAAGCTATATGACCCCTTACATGAAGTATAGCTAGTCGGAATGCGTGGGATTGAAAGCTGGCATGTTTTCAACTGTGGAGATACTGTGAGAGCGAGATTCGAGTTTTATATCACGAAGTTTTTGTCTAAAATGCCAGGAGGGAAGAAGAATACTGTATATAGAAGAATGCCAAAGGAAAGCCTTTTACTGGAGTGCAGAATACGCAATGAAAGCGAAGAAAATGCCGCGTGCGGATAGAGAAGTCACAAACAGTCAGCATCGAGTTCCTCGTGTGATGAGGCTCTGGATGCCGAAAGTGCTTCCATTGCCCAGATACTGAAATTGAGACCAGAAGATTCACCAGAGTTCATCAAAGATCATGTAAATGATTTAACACCAGATTCAGACTATGTTCACCTCAAGAAATTATATGCCACGTTGTCTGAAGCAGTCATCATCAGAGTCAAGTATCAATATCATCACTTGATGACTTCCGCTCAGGTTGTCGAAACGTGATATGTGTGCGAGGAAGGTGAGAAAACATAAGTGAACATCTGTTTTACGTTTTAACCTTTTCTTTACTGTTCATGTCTCGAGCATATGCTAGTCATCAGTGTGATGACTTCTCATTTTTTTCTCTAAGAAACTTCTCTTCAGTACATCTTTATTGTTTTCATTTATTAAAAATTACAGTTGTAACTGTCTGTTGTGTTATGTGGTGAATCAATTTTGTGACTCAATATATACCCCCAGAATGCACAAGGGCTCTTTAGTTTACTGTTTTACATAGGGAGTTTAATCACCAGAATTCTTCTGGGAGAAATGGGCATTTTAATGGCAGATCAATCTGTTGTTTTTTGGTCTTTTCATACCTTTCACTACCTAGTTTCATACCTTTCACTACCAGTTTGCTTTTTTCAAGAATAACAGAGATGATTAATTCCATGATAGTAATATGATTCAGAATATTTCATCAAAATTCGTGTGCCCAAGTTTAACTTCCCATGGGAGTGAACGACAACTGAAACATGTTGTAAACGGACGTTACAAGAAACGCCTTAATACATATGTTACTGCGTGTTGTTAAATTTAAGGGGTCATGCGACTGATTGCTGCTAATCTGAAACTGATACTGTCGCTCAAGTTCTCAATGAAACCGGCACGCTACGATAGCTACTTGAAAGAATAAAATAATATCAATGTTTTGGTTTATACCCTGTGTTATAATCGTTATAATCACAAGCAATGCAAGATATGTGATAATGACACAATATTGAATTTGCTTTCGATGAAAAACAAACATTAAAGATGTAACAATAATTGCCATCAAGTTTAACCACCCCGTATATACAGATATGTTATTTTCTTACAGCAGTTCATCACAGTTAGGTTGTATTCTCCTTCCTTCTTGGTTCCTGTTCTGTAAAGAAAATAACAAGAACACTGAATATTTCATGATTGTAATAAGTTTCAAGAGCTTTACTTCGAGTACTTGTGTATTTCCCGTCTCGTCACTAACACCTTATGTCAAAAGTAAACAATGCCAGAATATGAAGTTAAAAAGGAAGAAGATTAATTTGAAAAGCATCAGCGTTATGCGAGCGAAAATCTGGACTCGCTTTGATGAACCTCCATAATATATATTGGCAAATTGACTTCAATGCATCAAACGAAATTTTTGAACGGAAATATTGACACTGCTGATACTCAGCCAAGTTTCAGTAGAAGTTATATCACAAACAGCAGTATTTCGGTGATGAATGTATCTACTCTATATTTTAGAGAATGCTCGAACTAGTTCATTTCTACTGCAATCTCTTCATGTAGCAAGATTTGCATTCTTTTTTCATTTTGCTTTTATTCTCTTTGTTCAAAAACAGGAATTCATATGGTCCCAATCTTTCGAATACTTTCGGATCGACCATGTTTTCTTTTCCAATCAAATTACGATTGTTTTTTGACTTAGGAGGATAGAGTATCATAAGAGAAGAGTTTAATCTCAGTTTCTGAGCAAGATTTGCATTCTTTTTTCATTTTTCTTTTATGCTCTTTGCTCAAAAACAGGATTTGCATTCTTTTTACATTTTTCAAAAACAGCAAGATTTGCATTCTTTTTTCATTAATGTTGATTACATTTGGGTTGGAATTTTTTGCATATCTGAGCTCACTATCAAGAAAATGACCGTTCTGAGAACGGTATTCATCTTAGTTAGGATGTAGATTACAATGTTACACACCTATAAAAGGTGCTTTTAACGTCTTTTTTTATTATTAGAGTTTCCTGGGATTTCGCACGGTCTCGACCTTTTGCTAAATTTCGATCAATTCGCAACCTTTTGCGCAAAGGTCTCTTGGTTAAGGACACGCCTAAAGCGATGCCACGGTTCTAATTAGTTTTAGTTGCTAGAAGCGCTAAAAAGCTGGCCACACTCTTGATATTTGAGCCTTCTTGTTACAATTCCCATTTACCACCACGTGCACGAACTCGTCTAATGTCTGCTAAAAAACTGCATTTCACATTTTTTCCCGCCGACTGTTTGATGAACTTGAAAAATGATCTCTAGCAGCAACTGAGCAGGGAACAACTGCGAACGCACGTCGCACGTAATTCCCCCATCCTTGGCAATCAGAAGACGCACGAGAGCAAAATATTTCAATTCAATTTTTACGCTGAGAAAAATAAATATGATGAGAATCACCCTTTCCAGTAAGTATGAGCACGAGTATCTTAATATCGATGACTGAGTTATCCAAATAGAAATCTATCACTGAGAAGTAACACTTACGTTAAATGGACATTCAATTTGTTTTAATAAATTGCTGACCATGTCAGTGTCAGTCTTCATCAATTCTCGAGCCTTTGTTACTTTCTTGTTGTTTCATTAGAACATTACTTTGATTTGCATGTTTCTGGAACACTTTCTCATACAATTTCGAGATTATGCACCATTAAAACGAGACATAAACAAAATAATTAGCACCTCAACCTACTTTATTGTCTCCAATAAGTTCTGTTGCAAAGCCAAGAGCATTCACAAACATGGCGGAGGAACCAAACCCCAGTAGAATAACAGCTGGGTAAGTAGAAACTCTCGTCGACTGGGTAATATTTAAAAACCATGCACACGATCCAATCACAGTTGCAGCAGCCGCAGTGAATGTCCACTGAAACAAGATGAAGAGCTTTAGAAGAGGACTGACATGAAACAATATTCGTGGAGAAACATACTCAAAAAGGTGCATGACATTCTTATATGGTGATATACTTTCAATATCGCTTAGGATCAACGATTTTCTTTACCGGATGTAGCCCTCATTATGCACAGAAATAGAATTTAAAGGAAAAGATTATTGTTATTGTACAATATCCGACATAATATTGTCATTAATCATCTTGGTATCAATTACCTTGTTTCCCACTTTTCTCGAGAGTCTCCTTGAAATTTCAGTTGACAACGTGGCACTTACTAACGCTATTAATGGTATATTGGCAATCGCTTCCTATGAAAAAGCACAGAACTCTGGGGTTATGGAAAATGTCAATCTTATACATGTTTTATGGAGTTTCCATAAGGTTTTTGCTCAATGTTGGCACGCGTCATGTTTTTTTAGGAAATTTTTATGTTTTCGCTTTTCAAGGTCACTGAAAGCTAACGGTAAGGCAATGAGCAAGGTTCGGACTATCGCATATGTTTGCTGTAGTAAATATTATCAGATTGATTTTTGTTACTAAGCTAAGGCTCCATGAAGGAAGGCGCTTACCATCAATAATTTGACTTTGCCTTTGATTTCCTTCAATTTGCTTTGGTGGAATATCTCCAAATTTTTCACAATTTGTGAAAATTTCCCTGCCGATCATTTAAAAGCCGACAATAATTTTTTTCTATTAACAGGCACTACGAAGGGCACAAATATTTTTAACGATCGATCACAATGAAATCTTAGGAAATTCAAACGAAGGAAACGCAATAAATCTTACTCGAAATTTCCTTATTTTCTTTGTCGCAAAACATTACGTAATAGAATGAGACCTCGCCAAGATCCGTATCTGAGCATGCGTAGACTTTCGAATCTGTCGCCTTTTGGCAATCTTTCCCACGGCGTTTTCTTTTCGGTTGAATTTTTTTCCAGGCGAAGAAGGCCTTTGAATATTACGAGTGCAGTAGCTGGAAACCCTATATTCCATCACATAAAAATTGAATCGTGATAAACTTTTTTAAACACACGTTTTCCAATAAAAATCGTGCGATCGTATCGAGCCGCCATGCTTGTTTTGCATGTTGAGACTTTTAAAGCTCGTGCTATGTTGGCACCCAGATCTGTGCGGTCAAAAACCCCATGGAGACTCCTTAACTAGATTTTCTTTCTGTCATGAGAAGCAATTTATTGAGTCCATACCTCTTCCGGGAATACCAACTGGCAATTTATGTGCAATGGGATCCGCGAGTCGTGATTTTCTCGGATAGGCGAGATACAAGTTTTTTAAAAGTAGAACCTGACAATATTTGAAAACATCAAGGAGCTTTCTAGCCATTTAACTTTTTCCACTCTTACCAGGTGTGGAGCATTGATAAAGTAAATTTTTCCAGGAGCTTTGTTTGGAAAACGATTCGGGAAGTTTAATTTACGGGCAAGCCTAAACAGTTTCAACTGGGTACTATGTTTTTCAAAATGGTTGTTCTGTCTGTCTGTCTGTTTATCTCTTCAACAGACTTGTTATGAAGCTGATGCGCTGACTGAGAAAGGAGAAAGCAAGGAAACTAGGGTAGATGAGTCACAAGATATTTGGTTAACCTTTATAGAAGATCAAGTATGACTTTCAGTATTTTTTAAACCTAGAAAATGATCAATTAAATTTGCTCAAAAATGTTTTCATACTTTTCCAAACTTCAGTTCGTCGGTGAGGAGCAGGGGCAAATAAGAAAAGAGCACACTCTGTAAACTCTTCGTGCACGAGTAAATAATGGCAACCTGAAAAGAAAATAATAAACCACATTTTTAGAAGCTCACACCAATCCATTCAGGAAATTTTAAAAATTTCTTGCATCGGTGAACATATTTTATTCACTGTCCAATAGCGTCCTTATGGGCAAAAATGTACTAAAGGTCGTGGATACTGCTCTCAGCCTGCCTCGGGTGGTTCTTGAAGCAGAAGGCACAGTTTCCCAATACGCGAAAAAAACCCGAATCATTTATCGGCAGTATCACAACAAGCGGTTTTAAAAAAAACTTTAGATATCGCAATTGTACTCCCAGCAATGGCATTGGTAATGGCAATGGCAATGGCAATGGCAATGGCAATGGCAATGGCAATGGCAATGGCAATGGCAATGGCAATGCTAATACTAATGCCAATGCCAATATCAATGCCAGTGGCAATGGCAGTGGAAAAGTTCTCATTTTTTGTCGAAACATTCCCTTTCTTTAATTTAAGTTACCTTATACAAATGAGGATCCTTGAACCAGGCTCTCGCTGTCTTTGCTTTTTGTAGAGGAGTGGATTCAATATCAGAAGCAACAGATGGCAGAGATTTTCTATCATCTTTGCTAACATCCGGAGAATGTTGGCTGGATTCTGTTTCAAATTCTTCAAGGTCAACAGCAGGGGTCAGTTTGTGCCCTTGGTTATCTATTTCTGAGTTTTGTTGTGTCTTTTCCATCATTCCTCGGCCATCCCCTTCGCCTATATCATCCAAAGTTCTGTAATCGTCTTTCTTTAAATCGCTCTCTCCTGCAGAATCTTCTTGTTTTGTCGTCAGCCTATTAAAGATGCTCATCATAAGGCTTATTTTTCGCTCTTTTGGCAACGTCTTTACGAACGTGAAGTCATCCTCACTTGTGACTGCCACTGGGGTAACAGTCAAGTTCGGTGTCGGATCATGAGCCTCTTTTTCTATGGTCTTACTTTCCGCAGCTTCGTTACTGTCATGTCCTGCTAATATGGCTTCAAAAAATTGGTCAAAGAAACTGCTTTTTCTGACAGGGCTGGTTTGTTCTTCACATAATTGCTGGTTGGTTGGATTATTGTTTTCCAATGATCGCAGACTGTGAATGAATTTATCTAGGATATTTTCCTTTCGCTGCTGATCTGTGAGAAAATAAAAAATGAAAACGAGGCTCTTCATAAACAGGAAGACTTCGAAACTATCGATTAGCCACTGAAAAGCTGTAAAATTGAGATGAAGATATCGAGGAAGAAAATCAAAGGAAACTTTGCTGAAAGCAAAACAAGTCAAGTTAGTAAACGATGAATGACAACTCACATCCTTCAAAATACAGGACTGACTGTAAGAGACCAACTGATGGCATGAAGGAGGTTTTTCTCTACGAGAGATACGAAGCAGTACATCAATACACAATATCATTTTGAATGAGATCACTAGCAATGATGCGCACATTTCACTCAATATTTGAATATTTATTCATGCCCACTTGGTGTTTGTCGGTATCTCACCCGATATGATTGTTGGTATCTCACCCGAACTAGGCAACGAGACGCTCAGGGAGTGAGGCTTGAAGACGACGAGTAGTCGTAATAACCGGTCTAAATCCAACTCTTTCAAAAGGGATATAATAAACTTATTAAATTGCATTGATACAACACTTCGCAACAAAAAAGTCCAAAAGTTGAAATGAAAACCAGGGAAGCTTTTTGCGAAATTCAAATCTAAAATCGAGCGTCAGCTTAAGTGTTCACGTCAACCCAGTTTCCATAAATGATAGTGAACGTATCGACCAATGGTATTAGTAAGAGCATTGAATTGGCTGCCTGCCTCCATTAACATTGATGATTAATGATTGAATTGATAATTGATCATGTGATTAATCGCAAAGAACTGTAAGTTGAACTGATGGGGAAAACAAGGTTTCTTTTAGCTGTTGCTCTTGTGTAACCAAAATTTACCACATAATCTGCAATCGAATTAGACAGCTTCCTCTCTGCTGGTGAATCGTCTGGAGGTTCTTTAGTTCCAACATGGAAAATACCAGAGCACACCAGTCCTACTCCTGTTAGGATGAGAGCTATCACCTGAAGATGAACAGACATCACAACTGCAATCAAGTCTGTTCAGTGATGGACATTAGTGATTTCTACTTGTAATTTTAAAGAGAATACAATATTTGAAATTAGAAACATTACAATGGTGAATAAAACAATAGCGCGCGCCAATGTAACACTTGGAATCTAAGCGAAAAAGAAAAATGACAGTCAATATGTTACATCTGAGCATTCAGCTCGGTTTGCAAATGGCCAATGTGCTACGCCTCCCTAACGTTTTAGCCAATAAACTGTCCTAGCTGAGTCTAAAGTCTCACAACACTATGTTGAACACTTGTGCTTACAATTAGTTACATTCCGCTGAAGTAAATTGATAAATAGCCAGGGATCCGAAATTAGATCTTTAAAGCTAAAACAACTCTCAAGTTTTAATGAAGTGAAGACAATCCTTATGTTAAGGTCTTTGCAAAATGTTTTTGATAGCCATGTTAATTTGTTACGTGCGATGCTAGAAAAGTCACCTATAGGAAGTCTGCAACTTAGTGTTATTAACCACACGGCTCTGCATAGAAGGGTCACATCAAGCTCGAGGTTGTTGTGAAGCAAATTTGCTTTTATAGGTTGATATGATTTTTTCAGTTAGGTAAGAAGGAAAAGAGTTGCGTTAAAGAGTTTTAGAAAGGTTTTAAAAATATTTTTTCATGCTAGAAGTTGTACTAATTATCCTCAAAATTCTATTTACCAACGTGTAAATGAGACCTATCTTATATTTGAAATGAGTAAAACTGAGGAAATTTGTTAAAAGCCAAGTGTGCGTGTTCTTATGATGGAAAGAACACAAGAATCTTCCTAATTGCCCGCCAAAACGTCTGAGATTGGACATTTCCTATTAGACTGTGTTTCGAAAGAAAACCTAATATTGAGGTGTCTGGCGTTTAGGTAACATAAAACGTCATTCCTGTTCGTTCTAAAAGTGTCATTCACATATCTAGGACAAAGCAGAACCTTAAATCTTTAAAATCATTTAGCCATTGGTTCTCATAATACCCCATAAATAAGTTTGCACATATAGGTGCAAATGGTGATCCCATGTGATGCCATGACATTGATCATAGAAGGATCCCTTGAACGAAAAACGAGTTCGTAAAGTTGCAAAGTTAAACAATTACTTATTGCTAGTCTCATCTATAAGGAATTTGGGATTTTGTTTGAAATATCTATTTGTTTCAAGAAAAATTTTGGACATGAACCCATCTACCAGAAGCATATCGGCTTGATCATCCGCGATGCTCAGCGTCTCAGCTGAAGGAACTTTCAGGGAGAATAGTCATGAAAAAAGGAAGTTAGAGAGAAAGAAATGAAAAGATGTGGAAGAAACACAGGAAGGAAGCAGATGGGGAAATAGCAACAATAGAAGTAAGGAGTTACTAATTACCATAAAATCCATTGAGCTTTCTTTTGATAACTGATCACGGCCATCTTGTCCAAGAATCAGCCATGCCACAAGGTAACAAACGACGCCAGTTAAATACATGAAAGCAGTTCTGTAAGTAAAAGGTCAAGTGCAAGTTAGCTTTGAAGAGGTGAGAGCACCCTAAATATCTACTGATAAGTGATTAGGTGCAACTGTTTCTGAAACGAAACCAACTTCTCCGAAACTTCAGGGAAGATGGAACTAGATAATGAAGAGTTCTCTGAAGCAAAATGAAGATTAAACCGCTATGCTGATATACGGACAGTGAAGAACCCGGGAAAATCAGAGTGCGCAATGGGGCAGTTAAAAAAATTACAATGACGCAAATTCATTGACATCATATCTCAAGCTAGGCCACAAAAAACACTAATGTCCAGCCCGATAATTCGGCTTTTGACTGATTTCTCCGGTCACAATTTGTGAGGCAGGGAGAGTGTATCTACTCGTCACACTTCGCGCTCCCGTGAAGTCCGCGCTATGAACACCACCGTTTTGACCTAACCTGACTCTTAGGCTAAAAAAAACTTTTCAGCTTGTCTTAACATGCAAATAATTTTAGTTATCAAAAAAATTTTCCAAACCTTAAAGAAGAAAGCTTAGCGGCCTCTCTCTGATCCTTTGCCAAAACCGGAATGATCGACAAGTGCGATATGTCAACGAAGTTGATGGAAAATGAGATCATTGTGGCAATCAAAAAGTAATACAACAACACCGGCCACTCGCTGGTTCCTTTGCCACAAACAAAACATTTGCTGAAAAAGAGTGGAATACCAATAGCTGCTGCTATAGTTCCAATCAAATGCCACGATTTTCTCTTTCCATGCCTGCGTGACAGAACCGGAATTTTAATCTTATCACATAAAAACCCTGCTACTGGAGCAAAAAGGATTCCACCGGCAAAATAATTGTAAGAGGAAATTAAGCCGGCATTGGTTGCAGAAATGCCAACAACTCTCATGAGAAAAATCATTCGGAATGAATGCAACATGCGGCGAGTGTTGTCATTAATCACGTGCCCCACTCCAAAGGAAAATTGCTGCAGGTGTGATAAGCCTCTTTGACGATTTTTCTCGAACTCCATGTTCACATCCGCAAACCCTAACAGCCTAACAAGAAATAAAGAAAATCATGATATACGGAACTGCAACAAAAAAGGAAGTTGTAATAGTTATAATTATATTGATTCACTTTTTCAAACCAAGTAACTAATACTATTTTAGCAATAACACCTGGAGGGTTTGAGAGAAAAACAAAATCAAGCAATAGAACCCACCCTACCTACTATTCAAGAATTTTGATAAGGTTGAAAAGAGAGGCAGCTATTTTGCCGGAAATTTTCTTCAAAAATTTACAATCGCAGAGCAGAGAAGTTTAGGAAATATCTGAATTTTATGCTGATAGTTTTTTAGAGAATATTCCCAAAGATTGGGTCAAGGTTTAGTGGATTGATTCTTGCAGCAAATATAAAACTTGCGAGATTTAAGCCAATTTTTTTCAAACAGCGTAGTCCTAACCCAGTTTTGGTAGCATTCAAAATTATAACCCTCGAAAGGTACCTAGGATTAAATGAAAGTTGATCTTCGACAAGATCGATGGATTGTATCGAAGCCTGAGTTGTAGTCGTTTTTTTTAGATCATTCGTGGGAGGTGCACTTGTGGCCTAGATCGTTTCGTCTGTTCCTATGTAAGCGTCACGTATTCGAGTTCTGCCTAACTCAAAACCTGTTATTTATTGTGCGACTTTTAACATTTTGTCAAATGAAGAAAACATTAACCTCTTCTTTGAACTTTTATTGGTAAAACGGAACTCGAGACGAATTATTGATCGTACACAGAAATAAGACAAATGTTGGAAATGTACCATCAAATGTATCGCGAAAAAAAAATTGTTCAAGAGAAGGATTCAAACAATGCAGTAAAAAACGTAAAAGTTTCTATCAACTTACGATTGTTGTTGAGATAAAGAGCACTTTGGCGTGGCTTTCCAAACAACAACGCTCCCCTGAACTGAGTCTGTGCTCTGAGGAATTTCATCGAAATGTTAGGTTAGCGCGCCGAACGTGACTACCTAATTCTCCCTTCGAAACTGGTCTTGTCAACTAATTGCCACTCGCTAGTCTCAATCCGCTGCATTGCCCTGATCACGACCAACAGAAATGAAAGTCACTGGAGCTAAACAGGAGAGGGAGCTGCATTACCCTTCCGAAGGCTGTGGTCAGCACTCTTTACCTCTTGAAAACTTTAAAAGGCTTCTGTAAAATTTCGACGTTGTTCTCAGTCAGGAGAGGTCTTAGCAGCATATCAGGATTTTAAGTTCGGATTGAAATTTTGATCTGCATACTACGGATGCTTTCATACTTCGTTTTCCCCAGTCAGTGATGTATAGTGACAAAATATCGAGGCCGCAAAAAAGTTACCGACGGGTTACTGCTGACGTAAGCGCTACTAATGAGTAGAGCACTATCTAGCTCTTTTAAAAATGTCCTTATGGATCAATAGAAATGAATGTTGATGCCGGTGGGGAGATTATTGATTGCAGGTACAATAAGCAAACTGCAAATTATTGACACCTTTGAACTGTTTTCTCCTTTTCCTTCTTTCCTGTTTTAATTTTTTTTGTTTTTGTTGTTTTTTCGAAATAAGACGTTTTAAAACAAATGAATAACCTTACCTTTTTTCTTTTTTTATTCTAAGCTCCACGCATACCTAATTGAATCGATCGAGATATTATTACTTATCATCCAATTTCTTCGAAAATAATAGTTTGACTGCACAGTTCATAATGAAAAAGATATCTTTCCACCTTTTAGATTTTACGATATTTTATCTACTTTGTCCAATAGTTTAGAAGCGAACATGAAGATAAAGATAGCTTTTTTTTGCTTCCCTACCGAACAAAATAAAAAAATAAAACGTCAATTACTTAATCTGCGAACAGAAAGGCCTCACTGGAATTCACCAGATGTTAGTTTAAGTTTGAACGAACCGAAATGTGACCGAAAACTCTGCGCGAGTTTCAATCTGACAATGCATCCGCTTGCACTTGACACATTTGCTATACTGCACTGATTGGTATGTACCCCATCAGTACTGCGGACACAGTATTGTAGCTCTTATACTATCTGTTCTTACTGAGCAAGCTGCGAAAAACACATAAGCTGTAAGGAACCGTATTAACTATTAGAGAGATTTGACCTTCCCCTGAGTAGGCTTAGTGCTTTAAAAAGAGATAAAACACTGTCAACAAATTATAAGATGATTAGATATATACACATCGATCTTTATAATACTTCCAGGTTATGTAAGCTTAAGTATTAACAGCTCGTCTGAGATTATTCTTCAAATTCAGATGCTACATGGCTCCTCGTCACATTTCGTCAACCGAGTTACATGGTTATCAGCTTTTTGCTCGATTTCTTATTGACGCTTTTTTTTTTGTTAGAAACTTCAAAATGCTTCCTACTATTTTTTATAAAACGATAAAAAAATGGAAGTTTACTTTGATAACAGCAAATCTGTGAGCTGCAACTTGCAGGCAAATCTATAAGACTCTCTCGTATTGACGGCCATACAGAGAACAAACTCTCTATAGTGTATCTTTCAGGAAAGGGCACTTCATTACGATCGTAAGGCCCTCTGAAATAAATCTATTGATTGACACTGACTTCAATCCCAACACATACCGAACACGGTGACCCTTGTCATCAATTAACAATTGCATGGGACACATTTCGAATCAGACGAACCATCAGTATCCAGCAACTACTCGGTACTGAGAGTGTGATGATTTTTTCGCACGAAAAAACGTTTGTGTAAAGTTACTCAGCAGACGCGAGAGCTTTTATCGAAGTAAATAAGCCCTCTGCGCGCACGAAGGTGGAATCAAGGATTGATTACATTTCCAGCTTAAAATGGTACTGATTCTCGATAATGATAATAGCTTTTATACTTCATTGTCCCCTTCTGCTCACTATTATATTTTATCTGCAAAACCACCGCAAAACCATCGCAAAATCACTCGGAGTGGCCATCGATAACAAACTCGATTGGAGCAGTCACATCGATAAACTAACAAAGAAAGTCGCTTCTGGCATTTGGGCTATAAAACGAATAAGGCACCTTGCCCCTCAAGCGACTTTGCTTCTAATATATCAAGCTCTGATTCAGCCACATTTTGACTATTGAAATCATGTTGTTTGGGGAAACTAAGGGATAACTTTGCCGAACAGGGTACAGAAACCACAAAACAGAGCACCCGTGTTTTGACTTATTCAAATTATAACGCCGATCCTGGTCACTTGTTTGAGGTCCTGAGATGGAAAAACCTAGCTTCCAAGCAGCAGATACAAAGAGCCATAATGGTCTACGAGTCTCTGCACGGTTTAGCTCTAGATTATTTATGTTCTAAATTTGAAAGGCGAGAAACTGCGTATAACCGAAGAGACTCTGAGAATAAGTTTAATATTCCTTTGCCGCGCACAAACTGTTGCAAAAATATCTATAGTGGCGCCATTCTTTGGAACAGACCTCCTCGTGACATAAGACAAGCAGAATCCGTTGGGGTATTTAAGCGTTTAATTGAAGAAGTACGTTCAGGAACGGCATTCGTGGAAAGCAGCTTTAGTTAGATTAGTACTTAAAGTATATTTTTTATAGTATCTTATCCATTCAATGCACGTTTATATATTTGAATGTTTTTATGGCTGATGAATTGTCCGTGGGTAAAATATAGATTATCTATCTATGGTAGGTAGCGCAAATTAAGTTGCTTATGAAAGGCAATCTTGACCTTAAACTTCATTAGTTAAATCTAGTGTACGCAACAAAAGACAGACAATGAAAATGGCGCCTTCTCTCACCACAAGTGCACATGAAATTAATTAAACATAATACTTAAAAACAGAGTTTTTGTTTGTAGCACGATATGTTAATTTGCGGTAGAACAGGATTCTTGCTGTTTTGTTTATTGAACCAAGGGATTCATGCTTCCAGCAATGCTATCACATGTTGCATGCATGACGTAATATTACGTGACACTCGAAAGACACGATTTTTACGCATGAAAACAAATTAGTCATTTCCACTACGATAAACAAACACATCCTTATTGATAAATTCGAATTTTATTTTGTTCGCGTTAAGTCTGCCGGTGAGACCTCTTTTTTGTCTCATCGATGTTCGCCAGGAAAAATGCTATGGAAGTGGAATCTCAGAGGTAGAGTTAGAAAGAGGGTAGGGGGTAAAAAAGTGGAAAAAGGCTTTAATACTCAACTCGAAATGACTAGCTGCTGTACTGTGCGAAAGCTTTTACTCAAGTACGCGTGCGAAGGTGGAATCAAAGATTCCTTACAACTCCAACTTAAGGTGGTAATGATTCTCGATAAAGGTAGTAGTTTTTATATGGAATCGCCCTGAGTTTTTGGTTTTATAAATTTTTTTTAACTATGAATTTAGAACTCCAACTTAAAATGAAGCTTCTTGACCCCTCATAGGCCTTTCGCACGCTCGCTTCGCTAACCGCCTCGAATCTCACGTGCACTGTATCTCTTGCCGCAGCGCTAATGAGCCTACTCGTAGCCCATTACGCATCAAGTCAAACGTCGGGGGTGATCAGAAAAAAACATCATTTAAACTTCTCAGAGAGGCAGAAAACCTCTATTCGATAACCTTTTGTTTCGCCTAATAAAAGTTTCCCAACTTCGATACGTTGAAAATCTTATAATTCAGCGCTATATTCCCCATCGCCACTCACTTTGTTTTTTACATTTCTATAGCTGCATCACATTAGGCCCCCCTTATAGGGTGGTCTGCCTGTGATTACACAAACCATCTGGTTCAGAAATTAAATCTCCAGGTATGCTCATGTTGACTACTTTTCCCACGAGATATGTACTCAGCCTGCGTGAACGCTTTAATTCAAGTAAATGAACCCTTTGTAAGCACCAAGGCGGAATCAAAGATTTAGCAATCAAGTCAATCAATATTTCTTACCCTCATTTTTTGGTTTTACACTATACTCTTTTAACTGCGAAAAGGACCAGTGAAATACGTTATTAAACGAAGTTCACGTTTCATAATGTA